AGAGAATGATATCATTTAAATCGAGAATTGAAGAAACTGGTTTTCTTCTTTTTCGAATTAATTGCTTGAGAAATGAAAGTTTTGGGGTGTACTGTTCATAATTCGTTGGCTAGAACAGAGGGTTTCTGATATTCGAAAAAGATTGAAAACTTGAAATTCTGATCTCTAGTTTTTTTTTTGAGATTCGCAGATTCTGAAATTCTGGAAGTTCGGTTCTTAAGACTCTCAGGCTTTTTTTTTGCTTTTTGAGATTCTGAGGTTTTTAGATTCTTTTAGTCAGAAATCCAAAATTTCCTAACAATATGAAATTGTGAAATCGGAGAGTTTGAGATCCTGGAATTCTGAGATTCTGAGATACTGGGTTTTTTCTGTTTTTTTTTTGTAATTTCTGAATTTCTGAATTTCTGAATTTCTGAATTTCTGAATTTCTGAATTTCTAAATTTCTGAATTTCTGAATTTCTGAATTTCTGAATTTCTGAATTTCTGAATTTCTGAATTTCTGAATTTCTGAATTTCTGAATTTCTGAATTTCTAAATTTCTGAATTTCTGAATTTCTGAATTTCTGAATTTCTGAATTTCTGAATTTCTGAATTTCTGAATTTCTCATCTTCAGAGTTTCAAACTTATTAGAATTTCAAAAAATCAGAAGCAGCAAAAATTATTCCGCTTTTTTTCCAAAAAAAAAAAGAAATCAAAACCTCCCTCATTCATAAATTAACATAACAATCAATAATCATTTTGGGTATTTTTTCAACTAAAAATGTTTCCTACAATGTCTAATTTGATCTACTATTTTAAAAAAGTTGAATATTTGATCTCCAAAATTGATTTTTTACAAAATTTCAAGCATTTTTCTATTTTTTCGACTATTTTTCTATTGACCGACACATTGATTCCATGTCAAAAAGAATCAAATTTTTTTTTGAAAAACCGGATTCTTCTTTCTTTTTCAATTCCCTTCTCCCTTGGACTTTTTCACCGATTTTCTGGATCATCGCATTTTTCTTTCTTTTGCGTTCGAAAGTTATTTTTTTGAATTTCCGCCAGATTTTCAAAAAAGTTCTAGAATTTTCAGAAATGCGGTTAGTGATCAGTTTTTTTCTGATTCTTCTGGAAATTACTCTGGTGACGTCATCAAAGTGTCGGGATGGAGTACACAATGTGATCACAATCGATTCATATGGAAATGGTGAGAATTCTGGAAATCTGGAAATCTGACAATCTGGAATTCTGAGATTCTGAGATTCTGAGACACTGAGATTCTGAGATTCTGAGATTCTGAGACTCTGAGATTCTGAGATTCTGAGATTCTGAGATTCTGAGATTC